AAAGACACCAACGCAGCCATGGTCATAGGAAGAGACGAAGGCCAGTTATACCACTGATTAGGAAGGTGTTTTATCCGTCCTCATGGAAACATTGGCACTGCACAAAGGTAGACTATTCTCTGTGTCGCGTAAAGAAATCAAACGAATTCAGCAACTTACGATGGATCAATCTCCAAATAGTTAGCGCGCACATTGCTAAGATTAAGAGATTATAGGTCTTGATATGCTTGATCAGTTTGGCAAAACCAAAAATGCTCCATGTAATCATATATATTTCAAGCAAGGGAACTGCCATTTTAGTAACTTCAGTAACATTCTCCTATTAAAATCAGTTTCTTAAATGATCCAAAATATTTCAGCGACAAACTGTTTCATTTTCATCATTAAAAGTGGGTTAGTCCTAGGAAGATGCTGCAGAACGTTGACTCGACAGCTCATGATGTCGGGTTCACTTCTTGTGGCTGCCACGACTCTTGCCAAGGTTTGCACTTTTTTCAGGCTGTATATTCACCCATCGCCAGCATCACGCACTTACCTAACTCGCATCTCGCTCCTTTTTGGGGGCTCATTTTGTTGAAAGAAAACCGTTCTGGCTAGCTAACGAAGGTTGTTATAAATATGAGAGACCGCATGTGATGATATGATTAACGGATTGGTAACAGTATATCTCACCGCATTGCAGGAAATGTGTGACACAGGTGCTTCACTATTCTCAGCACTTGATACAAGAGTGGTTAGTGGTTGAATACTTTGAACAAACGCCGCTGCAATATAGGACAGATGTAGTTCTGTATAGTCAACAAATGGTTCAATTCATGAAATATGATGCAAATATAAGCGACACTACCGCTTCGTCAATCACAGGAAATATGTTACATTTGAGTCCATTGTACGGGTCATAAGTGTGTGCTTACTGTTCACTGAATTAAGGTTGATACCGGGTGCAGGGGCGGATCCAGGATATTTGAGAAGGGGGGAGGGGCAGCCTGTAGTGTCAGTATGTGTATAAGAGTAGCTAAACATACCACACACAGGGTACACAACATGACACATGTCAAACAAGAGGAAAAATTGAGCAAACTTACTCAATTCTGGCCCCTGTTTGAAGACATATTCCCAATTATCCATCCTAGCAGATCCATCAGGCGTCAAGGTTAAAATACAGGCCAATCTCTCAGCGGATCACTGACAATCATTGACGACACCGGGTGTTCGCAAAAGAGTAAGTAAAGGTTCTCTAATACCACTAACATTTGAATAGTTATTGCTTGACCAATACGCAGCTATTATTATTGGATATCTATATAGCGCACATATTCGCTCAACTAGTACATGCTCAAGGCGCTAGAGAAGATGCAGTATTAAACTATTATGCTTTTCAAAAATATTAATGTACTTGTACGGGAGGTGCTTCCAATAACGTCACGAAGCCGAGATGTTGACATCTATAGCAACGTGTATTGTTTAAACTATCCATGTAGGAGAGCTATAAATTCTTCTAAGACCTGTGAGGCGAAATGTGTATTTTAGGATTCCTCGAGGACGTTACAAACAGCGTACGATTCATCTCATCTCCTCTGGGGGCCATGTCAAAAGTACACGTTTTCTTTTCACAATTAGAAATCTGCAAAAAGCGTATTTTATAACAACTTACATCTGAATGGCACATTCACTTCTCGTGCAAACCCTATAGTAAGTGAAACTTTTTAGTGATGCTGTTCTGTTCAGACATCAGAGTTAGAGAGTAGGTGAAGGGCAAGGTAAGTTATGCTTAACAGTATGTTTTGCTACATTTTCTGCTTGATACAGATGTAATACATGTCTCCATAGATCTGAACAATGTAATAAATGTAAGATATTGGTCAGGACAATCTTTACTGGACAGACACGCTGGACCTTGGGGCAGTGTAAATGTGGTCGTCTTTCAACATGCAAGGAGGTCGGGGGTGTTTTCAGAATGTCATTTATTTGGAGTACTTTTCTTTCATGGTGGGTTATATTTCAAGAGCATTTATCTTCATGTCATTAAACGATCGATTGTTTCCACAAATAGTAAAGTTAGCTTAAAAGTCAATTCTCTCTTTAGGTTACTGTAAACCAGAATCAATGGATCTGACGACCGTGAAACTGTGTGTGACCAACTGTTCTGCCAATCCATTACTTACATGAGAGTACAGATGAATGCCTGGAAAGAAAGACATATAGATTTAAGTGTCATACTAACACCAACCTGGCTGATGTGATTTTAAAGAGTCACTCAGCCTAGATGCAAACATCCGATTTTTTTAGTACATATTAAGCTGAAATTGATAATAAAGTTGAACCTACCCCATCTTCAGCTGTACTGTTCTATAGAAAACCTGGAATTCAAAGTATAGAACCATTTGAAGAATCAATATCATCCAAGAGAACATTGGTGGGTAACCGAACAAGAACATGGTAACGATCTTAAGATTACGCATGTCCTTCTGCCAGTAATGCAGGAAGTCATCCAACTTCATAGAACATGGAGCCACGAAGTCGTTAGCTTCTCTCAATGCACTTGAAAATATGCAGCATTATGGATCAAATTGTTTGATTTATTTTTCTAAAATACAAGGGTTGTAAATAGAAACGTGCAAAAACCGTACTTATAACAAACATCATGTAAATTGTTAGACTAACATCTAGTCTTTCGTTCGTGAAACATGTTAATAAAATATATTGAAAAAGAGCCCAGAGACTTTCTTCATTTTCAGAAACTGTGGAAATCTAGACTTGCCACATATTCTAGACTTGCATGGCTTTCTTTGATATATTTGTTTCAGGGTCTGTATGACAGACTAGCAAATTGTCTTCATTTATATAAGAATAAGTGTGAGACTAGATATTGTGGCAGGGCAGGGACGTCTGCTGACAACACGTTGGTTTCATGATGTTTGTATATGTGTGATGACGAGACACCTTAGCTCTATGGGGGTCTGAGGGTGAAGTATCAACACACCCCAAACCATGTTTTAACAAAGTAGGCATGTACACTGTATTTTCAATGAAACGATGTACTGTTCAGATGGTTCAAATCAGACTTCTATAGCCACACTTTACAGACATCATTGCTTGGTTCATGCATTCACAGATACATATCACATTCACATTTAAGTTTTGAAACATATAATTATTAAACAGTAGGACGTAAACGAAACATTGCAGTGTATAGTTTCGAAATAAAAGGTTCTATTTGTCTTCCACATCTACAGTTGAGATTATACAAGGAGTTCCTTAGCATTGTTTGATACAATGCGACATATGTTGATATCCAGTAATACTTAACGTTGAATCATCTTTGTCTTCTCCATGGCCGATATTTTGTATTTTGTCTTCATTTTAAAAAAAAGATATTTTATAATATATCATAATATATCAGTGTATTCTTTTATAATGACAGGATGCACAATTTATATAGCTGAGTTATGTCTTCCTATTATACAACGCTGAAACAAGGTATGCTGTTCATGTACTTGCGTTTAGTTGGGAATGGGCTATTGAAGAAGTAATGTGTTGCATGTGTTTTAGATTTAAGTGTCTTAATTGGGTGAGATTTTAAACAAAATATATCTGTCTGTGAAAAGTACACTCAGCTAGACTGTCACCAGGGACAAGGCTAGAGGCGGCGGTTTAGACGCTGGTGTGGCGCCTGAAACAAGCTCAGGCTTCATAGCTCTTCTAGCCGTAAGCCGTGGCATCCAGTCTAATTGCGGGGGAGTTAGCTGAGCAGTGAACGCCACCAGTTAACGGCACTGACGGTGACGCAAGCCGAAGTCGGTAAGGCCCCAGGGAGAGAGGACGACACGGCACTCGCGTTTGAGCGGCAACGTCAGTGGCCTCAAATATCACTTTACTGGGAAATCGTTACGACGGTGAACATTTCTTGAAGATAATGACATTTGTGACAGAAACAAATCTGATTCTTGTGGAGGAGAACACGCACACACGAGACCTTGACGAATTGGCATTGATTTTCACAATACCGTCTATCTGCTCGGACTTTCTAGCGTGTGCTTTCTCCCTGTTAACGCCACAACTGACCAGCGCTATTAACCGCAAATGAGGAGTGGGGATTTATAACATAGTTAACACAATATACAGTGATATCAAGAGCTAATGGCCGCTGATCGGGTTATTCCTTACGCTTAGCTACTATAAGACTGCAAAGTATGGTCAGGTGTTAGTTTGGTGGAGAGTTAAACTATATATGGTTGAATATGGTTTTGTCAGATATGGCTCGTAGTTAGATATGACGTACGACTGAACGTGTTCGACAGGTTTTAGAGATTGTCATGATATGGAGATTAGTATGTTTAGTTTCACAGGGATGGTAGATGTACATGACATGGAGAATAGTGTTGTTTAGTTTCACAGGGATGGTAGATGTACATGACATGGAGAATAGTGTTGTTTGTTTGACAGGGATGGTAGATGTACATGACATGGAGAATAGTGCTGTTTGTTTGACAGGGATGGTAGATGTACATGATATGGAGAATAGTACGTTTGTTTGACAGGGATGGTAGATGTACATGACATGGAGAATAGTGTTGTTTGTTTGACAGGGATGGTAGATGTACATGATATGGAGAATAGTGTTGTTTGTTTGACAGGGATGGTAGATGTACATGATATGGAGAATAGTGTTGTTTGTTTGACAGGGTTGGAAGATGTACATAATATGGAGATTAGTACGTTTTGTTTCACAGGGATGGTAGATGTACATGATATGGAAGGGAAGAAGTTCTAGTTTTCCCGAAGCATACGGAAATTACCGAGGCCTTGCGAATGATCACTTTTGAAACAACGTCGCTGATTGCACAACTAAATCTGACTGCAACCAATCACGAATCCTGAACATATTATCCGTCATCTAAACAGGTTCATTTGTAAACATGATATCTTTTCAGGATGTTTCGTTTTTGTAATTTGCCACTGTTCTGTTTTAATGAATACTTGAAACTATTTGTTTTCAGATTAAACGGTGACAAGAACGACAACTGCATCAAACCAATATCAACTCGCTCAGTGGGTCGCCGTCGTCAACATGAGGAACTACCCCCAATGCATTGCAAGGTCACCCGTCATAACCTCTGCTGTTTTCTTCTTAGCGGCTGCCCAAATACCGTGCATCTACAGTGTGATTATCTCCCTTGATGTTACCAAGCTTACTGTTTCCAACACAACCGAGCTTCCATCTCTATCCTCCATCCGTCCCTCTTCATTACAAAAAGATAGTCTACTTCGTGATATGTTTAGTAGATTATGCAAGTTTCACAACAGCATCCTCTGTTCTGGTCACTACGGACCATCCTCCAAACAGATCGCCTTACGCAAGCCTCGTTTTTTTCGTGATTGGTTCCAAAATGACCCGAGAACAAAGAAGCGTAAACACAAACAAGATTTCCAGTCATCTGTCAAACATTTATCGCTGGGTAGACTGCATGTGACCTCCAAACCAGCGACTCTGCGAACAATCCTAGCCTTTACACCCAGTTCATCGGGGAATCTTCGCGGATCTGGAGATAATGGAGGGTCAATGCCTACAGACCTCTCATCTTCATTCCTAAGTGTTCGTCTGCCAAAAATTGGTAAACGAAGACCTTTCAGGTACAACAAGAAAGTGTTTGTGTACGGCGAGGACGACCGCTTCCCCGTGTTTGCTTCAAGTATGAGGCGGTATCCTTACTCTAACGTCGTGCGCTTGTCCAGTGGATGTACTGGGACTCTGCTGACGCCGCTTCATGTCTTAACTGCTGCTCATTGTGTACACAACGGAGAGGAATTCAGGAACAATCTCCAGATGCTGAAAATTGAGGTACCGGATACTATGGGTTTCCGAGTATATTACATTGAGAAAATCAGCATTCCCAAGCAGTGGTCACGCCGGAGTTTTATGGGAGAGACTGCAAGATCTTCTTATGACTACGCTATTGTGAAGCTCAGTTTTGCTGTAGCTGGAAGGAAACGTTTCATGCCTTTGTCAGTTCCGACAGGCAACATTTTGAATGAAGATACATATTTTCTGGCATTTAAATCACTTAATGATCCAATGCTTTGGAGTTCACAATGCCACTCGCGTTCCAACATGGCGCTGATGGACGGGCAGCTTCTCCTGACGCGCTGCGACTCTTCTGTAGGCAACTCCGGTGCTGCTGTCTTCACAGATGATCCAAGAGAAGGAAAGAGAATTATTGGCATAATCTCCAACACCAGATCTGTTGCCAGTATGAGTTTCGTAACACGCTACAGCATCATCACTGCTCTGACTCTGGGAAAACTTTGGGAAATTTGTTCCATGATGGCTCCATACGGTCAGCGATATCGTGTTTGTCCTTCCTTTAAATATCTACCACATGCCAGAAATGAACCAGTAGATAACAGAATTATACCCTTCTTTGGCTGAGATATCCACCACAGAATAATGATGGATTTTCATACTGGCTCTCAGTCAGAATCTTTGTCTGCTTCTCACATAATCTCACTGACGAGACAATTCGTGATCAGACAAAAAGAGGTCTTCAAACTGCAGTGCACCATGGCTTCCTGCTTCTGGGAAGGTTGATGACCAGAGGATTGTCCAGCTGTCCAGTGTCTGAGGTCAACAATGAGTTTGAATGACAGTTTCATAATGACATGAGTTTGACTGCATCCTTTGAACTTTCATCCGATCTGCTAGAATATGAAACTGTTCCCTGACACAGGTGGTGTTTTTGGATGGATATATGAATATGATCCTACTGGTGGACGAGGTTGTTTCGACCAATATGTACAGAATAGCATGTACAAGTGAACACTAGCTGTCTGCTTCATTATGTGTCACTTTGTTTGTTTTGTACTTGCGTTATGTATGTAAAGTATCATTAGTGGTAATTTAGCAACACAACTTACAATCGAGTTTTGCCTACAAAATGAACACATAAATATCCCTGACAAAACTCCTGCTTGAATGGACAAAAAGAAAACACACATCTTGTGATTTTTACTCTGCCAACGCAGCATTGTTGTGTTCGGAAATTTCGACGAACCTATACTATCGAGAGTGCATATATTTGGCTGAAGTTATTTTGAGTAGATGGTATTTCTGCTACCCCTCAGTTATGATAGCCTGTAAACACATGTTTGTATCGACTAGGAATAATCTGAGATGCAGCTGGCAACATACATTCGTAACTTACATTATCAAAAAGAACTGTTTTCAAAGCAATGGATATCTCTAAGGGCATTGGAGGGGAAGATATAATTGCCTCGTGTGTCATTCTACAAATAATATTCAACATGCCATTTAAACACACTTACTTGGGATTTGCAAACATTTGTTTATGTTAATACACACATTTACAACTAAGGAACGTCTTTCCAATTGGACATATACGATTTGGTCCAACAAATAAAATCATTGAACCAGATGACAACAAACTATTTTCCCATTTGCTATAAGCATGATTTAAATGTGTGATCAAATGGCTAAATGTCTTGCAAACAATTATTCTGTTTCAGTTTCCTTCATTTGAGCGTCAGTGGAGATATTTTTGATTGATAATACAGTACAGTACTTGAAATGGTTTTCTTTCCATGGGAACACATTTATTGGGATAGTGTAATACAGGCTATTGCAAAAAGAATAACAACTGAAGGAATTTCAAGCAATTTCTTGTGGCATCTGATACATTTGGAAGCATACCGGTCTTCACTCATTCTCTTCTACGTAAGAATAACAAATAAATATAACAATTGTAAAGAAAACAAACTTGATACGGATGACAACGGACATTATGCGGACAAAAATCTTAAAACATTAAAGAAACGATAATCACTTCGCAAACAAATCAATGTGCGAACTTTGGTAAACAGATCAAATAGAAATATGTTTTCTTGATTCAAGTATCACAATAAAAAATATATACTGAAACGTGATACTGTTGTCAAATTGTCAAAGTTTGTACTATAGGGTTTCATATCGCAACAGGGAAACAGCAAATCTCAGACTTACACATTGGTTGTGTTAATGGTTTAGCATGGCTATCTTTATTGATAGATCTCCTGAAGCATCTAGTTTTCATTTATTGACGACAGTAGGCAGATTGGTTTAGTTCCAAGAAGTACACATACAGCATGCCTTGTGCCAGCCTGTATACGACACTATACCTCAGCAGTGCAGTCTTAACATGGTCCTTGTCCCACGCAACTATAAGGTTCTTAAGACATGTGTGTACATAATTATTTTGTCATTTTTAATTTATCATTTGTGTTTTGTTTAATCAACTGTACTGGATGCTAAATGCGTGGGGGTATGCCTTATATAAAACATCCTAAAGTATACGAGCTTTGTTATTTTTGTCTAAATGTCTTTGACCACTGATGCGTTTTCAATCAACACACGAGTTCTGGTTTCAGAAACAACATGTTCAATTAGGAAGGTCTTATTTTAGATATCAATTCCGTGGTTGACAAATTTCCAATATAGTTCAAACGATATGAAAATCGATCATTCGTTGCGTGCGTGTACACCGATGTCAGATGAATATCGCTTGCTATATATGTTATTGTCACGTATAATCCGTATACTTATGGTTCTCTGAAACATACAACATGTAAAAAACATACAAACATATCTGAAAACGACGGCTGCAAAATGTTTAAACGAAGGCTGCTTTTGTGCACCTGTTCACCACCTAGTTGACCTAGGTTGAAGCTCACAACAATCATTACACATGCAGTTAAGGAGCACACCTTATTCGAATATCAGTAAACTGATACTTCATTCGTTTGAGTTTGTTAACGTCAGTGGTCATAAAAAACATGTCTGTGATGACGTCGTAAAACATCCCAGTTTAAAGTTATCAACAAGCAAGCAACTTATTACGGACTTGTCCTTTGCCTTTTACGTTACGGGGATATTGATAACTATGCAAATGACTGCAACGTTGACTGCCTTGTTTCTCACTTGTTGTATAACCCCACATCCATAACATCCATAAGGGAAGTGGGGTGGCCTAGTGGTAAAATGCGTTCACTCGTCACGCCGAAGACCGGGGTTCGATTCCCCACATGGGTACAATGAGTGAAGCCCATTTCTGGTGTACCCCGCCGTGATATTGCTGGAATTTTGCCCCAAACGGCGTAAACCCATACTCACTCAATCACCTTACATCCATCTTTGACTTGTCATTCTCTAACCATGGTCAGATGTCATTATGGGTCAGACAGTTCTAAAGATCAAAGATGGAAACTGGCTACTAGATGCATATATCGTATAACGTCGAGCACACACTTACAAATATAATGTTTTACGTCTGTGTGACAAGTGTATGAGTACCATCATAGATACAGTATTAAGGTGAACCGACCTTGACAATGTACCAGAGGCGCCTGCAACGCATAATAAGAACTATAAATATTTAAATATATTTGTCAAAAATGCGAAAGCATTCATTAAGAAGCAAATAAGAAATGCCAGAGCATGGAGTGACACGTGCCTGAGGGTTTTTCACGTACTTGCTTCGATGGTCAAAACAATATATGGCGATGAATATCAGAAATTCCCGTGAATTGTCAACAGTAAAACCGTGTCATTACCTCCCGACTTCTTGCATCTAACCGTCTCTGAAGTTGCAAAATCCCAAAGTTAACGCTCCAAGGACAAAGTGGATGCTTAATTCTATCGTATGTGTAAATTACATATACTGTGCTGCAGAGAATTAATTTGTTGTTGACAGAGCAGAAACGACATTCGAACTTTCCGTTTGTGATAATCTTATTATCATTGAAAAGTCCTCCACCTTGTCATTATTGCCATGAAAAAAGTAACCGTAGACGTGAACATCCTTATCAAATTAACGTGGTGTAAATTCCGACCACACAGACGAAGGCGGTTTAATTCACAATGGCGCGTCACCCACGCTTCGAAATAATCCAGTGAAAATTAGATATAACCATTTGTAATGATTCCATTTACTTCAAACTGGGTAACTTAATTCTTTTGAATCAGTTTTCTTGTATGTTGATGAAGTTATATTTCATATTTATAGATCTACTGACCCTTAAAGTCATTAGTGTTTCTAATGATGTATCTTCCATTGTATACACTTAAATATAATGTTATAACAGGGAATAGTTATTTTTTTTCTCAATATTTAAGATAGGTTTGTGAGGATTTGAACAGCAACAATGAATGACAATTGTAGTGGACAAAGATATTGTAATTTTGGACAGTTCATCAAAACCAAATTATGAATAGAGTTGGGCCACTTTTAACAGGCTTTTTTACGTGTATGTCAGGATGTATCAAGCTTGCTGTGGGAAGAAAGCTCAGAGGGACACAGCTGGTGTATCGTACCTAAAATGGCAATGACACAAGACAATATGGATGCACAGCATTATGTCGACCCGCAGAACACACGTCAGAATAACTATGATGTAAGCAATTTATGTGCGTGCGTGTGCGTGTGCGTGCGTGTATATGCGCGAGTACAAATTTGGATGCCAGTTTTACAGTGCTGAGCTACTGAGATGCCCGAACGCAGGTGGCCAGGATTTTACTGGTGGTCACACTGGAGGGGTGGGGGACTGGAGGGTATCCAGGTGGCCAGGATTTTACTGGTGGTCACACTGGAGGGGTGCGGGACTGGATGGTATCCAGGTGGCCAAGATCTTACTGTGGTCACACTGGAGGGATGGGAGACTGGAGGGCATCCAGGTGGCCAGGATCTTACCGGTGGTCACACTGGAGGGGTGGGGGACTGGAGGGTATCCAGGTGGCCAGGATTTTACTGGTGGTCACACTGGAGGGGTGCGGGACTGGATGGTATCCAGGTGGCCAAGATCTTACTGGTGGTCACACTGGAAGGATGGGGGACTGGAGGGCATCCAGGTGACCAGGATCTTACTGTGGTCACACTGGAGGGATGGGAGACTGGAGGGCATCCAGGTGGCCAGGATCTTACCGGTGGTCACACTGGAGGGATGGGGGACTGGAGGGCATCCAGGTGGCCAGGATCGTACTGGTGGTCATACTGGAGGGATGGGGGACTAGAGGGTATCCAGGTGGCCAGGATCTTATTGGTGGTCACACTGGTGGGATGGGGGACTGGAGGGCATCCAGGTGGCCAGGATCTTATTGGTGGTCACACTGAAGGGATGGGGGACTGGAGCACATTCAGGTGGCTAGGATCTTACCGGTGGTCACACTGAAGGGATGGGGGACTGGAGCACATTCACGTCGCCAGGATCTTATTGGTGGTCACACTGAAGGGATGGGGGACTGGAGCACATTCAGGTGGCCAGGATCTTACTGTGGTCACACTGGAGGGGTGAGGGACTGGGGGCATCCAGGTGGCCAGGATCTTACTGGTGGTCACACTGGAGGGATGGGAGACTGGAGCAGGACATTCAGGTGGCCAGGAGCTTCTCCTTCTTATCGAACATGACTTGTGGGATGGGGGACTGGATGACATCCAGGTGGCCAGGATCTTACTTATCAAAAATGACTTGAGGAATGGGGGACAGGGGGACAGCCAGCTGACCAAGTTCTTATTGACGATCACTGGAGGGATGGAAGACATTCACGTGACCAGGATCTTACTGGTGGACACACTGGTGGGAGGGAGGACTGGGGGACATTCAAATGGCCAGGATCTTACCAGACTGACTGGATATATGCTTTGGGAGTCAAGAGTAATCTGGAAGCATCTAGAGTAGAACGGACCTATTCAGCACTGTTTGTAAGTTTCTGGAAGTTCTTTATGACTAGCAAGCACAGTCCTCTTTCATCTTACATTACATCAAGATCAACGTTCGTGTGAATCATCTTTTGACAATGTATAGCCAGCCTAGACTAATTTTGGGTTTTTTAGCAGTGTTGCTACAAGGTGAATATCACCATCACTGACTTTATTCCTATTACCGCTGTTTTATTCTGCCATCGTAATCACGTTGCAGTAAATTGCATTCTAGTTGTATAATGTTTTAAGCTGGATTTTCATTTGTTTTCACAATGATATCTATTTCATGCAAATATCTGCTTATCTTTTGTTTCAGTTTACAAATTGGCATGTAGCATATGTAACATACAACTTCGTATTTAAAGGATTCGATAGGTCTTGGGCGCTTGATTCAGAATAAGCTTTCATAGTGATACTGAAATGTCGGATGAATTGCTTTCACCTTTGATATAACTATAAGCGACAAAACTATTTCCGTGTGAATCATTATCAAATATCGCCGTACCGGGTGTGTGCGAAACTGATCTAGATATGAATGAAACAAATGACGCGGTGTCCTTGACGCGGAAATTGACTATTTGCCCGTTTTAACGATATTATATCATAGAAATACTGAAGCTTAAGTTAATCTGCTTGACCAAATTATGTTTTCTTGACTTTATCAATCCTTGCAAACACATACACGTGTAAGTACATTAATTTCTGCGTCATCAGGCGGTACTATACACCAGACCGCATGGATACTGAGAGCCAAAGGTAAACAGGTTTTGACAGATTATAAGTACTGGAACATCCAGGATCTCACATATTGTGTTTAGTATACTTCTTGTGACATTTGCTTTCCTTTTTTTAAAAAAACAAATGACCTGAGCCTTCGAAGTTAAGAATGTTACTATATCTCCTATCACTACGTTTCGTGACAAAAATCATGAATGAAGATATGATGTTTTCCTCAGGTTCGTTAACTCGAATAGTCTTGATTTTTGTGGATTTCTTTTTAGACAGCAGAACATCCTCTAAGAATCTTCGAGGCATTAATTTCACTTGCCTCAAAGACATTCTGCAAATATCGACAAAAACAAGAAAGGCCTTTCTTTGCTGTTTTAAGGACTGTGGCTAATGACTGGAATACTGGAGTTTGTAGTTCACTTACTGAACCTTACAAAGGTATGTCACTTTGTCAGGATTTTTCATGGAGCTTTGATTGATCAAACAAGTATCTGAGTGGCGATCGTATATTTCAACTGTGAACAACTACAATCTCTAAAAATCCAAGACATTGAATGAAAGCCGCCTGGACAGAATGGGTATATGTCAATTCTGTTTCTTCTTTTTCAGTTTGTGCATCTCACTAATTGAAGCATTAACTGACTTAATATACAACCTCAACACCGGATAATACCCTCTCGACTACCTGATGAAACAGACACCGTCGCAATGCTAATCGTCGATGACACCGAGTGTTCGTGTAAAGGTGAAGCAAGTCCTGCTTTATCATTATCAATGGTTGTAATGCTGTGATCCTGATTGGTAGCAGGCTGATAACGGTATTTGGGGCCATAAAGAAAGTATTTAGCCAACTGACATCACGAGTAAT